GGGATATTGTACCTGGAGGCACCCATTTGAAAAGAAAACCGTTACACAGATCCTTTGAGGACAAAAGAGTGCGCTACCATAAAAAGACGTGAATACCTTACTTATGTATATAAGAATTTCCATTTCTAGTTTTGAAAATCTAACTTTAGATTCGTAATCAGCGACCCAAAAAACCCCTAGATACCAAGTTTGAATTAAATCCATCAATTTTTACAAAATTCGTCCGCCATATTGGAGCCGCCATTTTAAATTTTGAAAATCTAACTTTAGATTTGTAATCAGCGACCCAAAAAACCCCTAGATACCAAGTTTGAAGTAAATCCATCAATTTTTACAAAATTTGTCCGCCATATTGGAGCCGCCATTTTGAATTTTGAAAATCTAACTTCAAATTCGTCATCAGCGACCCAAAAAAATCCGACAGGTTTTTGGAGGTTAGAAAAAAATCCTGACGTGATGGAGCAAAACGGACTTCGGATTCGTGTTCAGCGCGTCAAAATACATAGGAAATGACTAGTCTGGTCTGCCGCGCACGACACTTTTTTTTGTGAGGCTGTGTAATTTATATATTTTTAAATCAGAAAGGATAGCGAAAATTTTATTTACAATAATTTACAGATAAATTCGTTCAATGGCAAGAAAAAATCCACAATCAAAGAGATAAAATCAATCAAAATATTAGAGGGACTTATCAATTTCCGAAAATTAAAAATGTTGATATATTAAAAAGAATAACAACAAATTGGGAAATTTTACAAATAGACGGGGTTTTTTTAACAGAAGATTTTATAACAGTTGCATTACATAACAGCGTAATGCCATTTCTCAGATGGATAATCATCATATTAATGAATCACTGATAGAGGATGCCAACGATGTAGAACTAATAATAGGAAATGATAATTCTGATACTGAAGGTACATTAGAGCCTTTAATGTGCCCTTTCATTAAAAAAATGAAGTTATAATCTTAAAAAATATTAATAGTTTTCTTCTTCACAAGGTGAACTTTTATAATTGTAATGAAATTTGGATGTCACCATTACTCGAAAAACGATTGACCAATTTCAAAAATTCTTGTTGCATTCTTTTCAGAAGATATTCCTTTAGCCGTGAAACATCTAATATAACAATAATATTCATTTTTATGCTTCCTGTAAATGATTTAATGACAAAACATAAAGATTTTTAATTTTTTTAATTTTTAAAGCTTTAACATTTTTTCAAATTTTGCTAGTATTTAGTAGTTCCAAGTTAATCCGCTAAAGAAAATTCCACAGAAAAGAATGCAATAAGAATTTTTGAAATCAGTCATTCAGTTTTCGAATTTTGGTGACAATCAAATTTTAATACAATTTTAAAGTATGCCCTTCGTAGAAGGAAAATATTAATATTTTTTAAAATCATAACTTAATTTATTTATTATCCAAAATATACATAAAAATATGTTATAAAATTTAAATTATTACATTTTAAAACTTTTAAGAAATTTTTTTTTTTTAATTTAATTTAAGGGGTTACGCCACCCTGAACGCCTGAAAATTGGACGGTATTTCAAAAATAAATTTTGACAAAACTATTAAAAATACAACTTTTTAATAATTATAGTATAAAAATAAATGTACTTAACTTTAAAAATTAAAATTTTAATTACAAAATATTCAAAAAAAAGTATATATATCTCCGACATTTTTGCATATTTTTAACTAAAATTTTTTTTTTTAAAAGTTAAATACATTTATTTTTAAACTATAATTATTAAAAAGTTGTATAAAGTGTTGTCAAAATTTATTTTTGAAATAAATAAATATAAATATATAACCTTTTGGTCGAGGCGCCGTAAAAACTTATAATCATTTGTTTTCAAAATTACACTTGTCCGAAAAATAGTAAACCAAATGATAAGTTTTTATAATTTCATTTTATCATAATCAATAGTTGACAAATTATTGACTTAACATAACATAATTCCGGAAGTTCCTTAAGACAACTTGCAATTTTGATAAGTAATAATTATGACATTTATAGGTTCGAGTAAATAAAACTTTTATAAAACGTCACTTCCCTCAAATATAAATAAGGATAAATGTATTTTCATATTCCCATCATTTATAAAAAACGCCAATTTTTAAAAATTAAAATTCTTTTAAATTATAATTAGGCTTAATCAAAATTTTGACAATTGTTTTTTTTATTTAAAGAACATTTTACATTTAGATTTAATACAACTTTTATCAGTTTTTAATTCATCTTTATAAATTTTTAGTTAAAGAGAAATCGAGTTGAATAAATTTTATATCTATTGTCAATTCGGTAATGTAAATATTTTTTCACTCAATATTTAAACTTACAAGAAATAACAGTAAATACCGTTTTTGATAAACAAAAAATATAATTATTGCCTTTTAATAAAAGTAAATATTACGCGCATCGTAAGTTGAGAGAAATAAATATTACGCTGAATAATAATAATTAAAAAAAAAAAATTTTACGGTAATAATAATAATAATAATAATAATAAAAATGGCATTAGGTAATAAATAAAAATATTTTATTATATAAAATAAAAGTAATTAAAATATATTAAATATAATAGTGTAGTTATTAAATATAAAATTAATACTTACCGACCGAATATAAAATATCTGCGATAAAACTTTTTATTTCTTTAACAATTTTAATTTTTTTTATTCATAAATATAATATAATTTTGTACTTACACAATTTTTTTCAATTTACTAGTAAACAAATTCAGTTTATATAATAAAAACAATTTGTTACATTTACAGCTTTTAAATATTACATACAACACATTACAGTAAATTAATTAATAATTTTAATAAAAATCCCGTTATGTTCTAAATAAATAAATAAATAAATAATAATCATAATAAAAAATATGTAACCTTACCTTCCTTTTTTTATTTACAATCTGAAGTTTATAATGTATTATTAAAATTACAAAAATCTAATAAAATATAAAATTAGATTGTTATTTTTATTCTTTTTTTTAAGAAAATATATGCACATTTCCTAGGTATATAGTTTTAGAGAATAAAAAAATTTTTTAAACTACAAAAATATTTCAATTTTTTATAAATAATAATTTATATCTTTTAATTAAATATAAAAAAGCAATAATTAATTCAAAATTCCTGCCTACGTAAATTAATTTTAAGAATTATCCAGAAGCGCCATCTACTGTACAATACCGACTGCTGTAAACTAATAAGTAAAACCTCAGGGATGGGAAACTTACATGAAAATTTTATGTCAAATGGATTTTATGCTACAAGAAAATTATGTCAAATGATTTTTATTTCAATCAATATTTCTGACAAATGAATTTTATGACAAATGAAATTTATGTTAAATGAAATTTATGTCAATTGAATTTTCTATCAAATAAATATTATGTTAAATGATATTCATGCTCTATGAATTTTATGTCAAATGACAATTATGACAAGTAAAATTTATATCAAGTGAAATTTATGACGGATAAACTTTATACCAAATAAAAGTTATATCAAATGAATTTTATGTCATATTTTAATTATATTAAATAAAAATTATTTAAAATGAGATTTATATTAAATGAATTTTAGATCATATAAGTTTTATGTCAAATGAAATTTATGTCAATTGAATTTTATGTCCGATTAATTTTATGTCAAATGACATTTATATTAAATGGTTATTATGTAAAATTAATTTTATAACAAATGATATTTATAATAAATGAAATTTCTGACAAATAAATTTTATTTAAAATGAGTTTTATGGGAAATAACATTTCTGTCCATTAAAATTTATGTCACCTACAATATATGTCACATTAAGTTTATATTAAATGAAAATTATGTCAAATATGTTTTATATTAAATGAGTTTTAATCTAATTCAATTTTATATCAAATGAAATTTAAGACATATGAATTTTACGTTATATGAGAATTATTTCAACTGAGCTTTATGTCAAATGAAATTTATGACTACTGAGTATTATATCAAATAAATATTATCTCAAATAAGGTTTATGTCAATTTACAATTATGTCAAATGAAAATTATTCGAAATGAAATTTATATGAAATGAATTTTATATCATATAAGTTTTATGTCATTTGAATTTTCTATCGACCGAATTCATTTCAAATCAGACAGGCTTGACTTGGTCAGAGCTGAAAATAATTTTCACCTTCAAAATGTTGTTCTTCAATGAATTTTAGACGACACGTATTTTTTTATTTTGCTGAAAACAATTTTTTCTTTAAGTTGCAGCTTATTTTAATGCATTTTAATTTTCTGTGTAAACATACCTTATTTTGCTTTTTAAAAAATAATAACTGATTCTTTAATTTCTTAATATTAATACTCGCTATTATTTTACTGAACACAAAAAAATTAACAATTTTAACCTCTGTGACAGTAAAGATTATTAATTATTATTTGATTGTTGTTATGGAAAAATACAAAAAAAGAACTATTTCAAACAGATTTATGAAACTATTTTAAATGATATTTAAAAAGCAATAAATGTGAGCTTTTAATCCATGTTTTGCAAATATTGTTGAACAAACACAAGATGGACAAAAATGACAACAGACATTTTGTAAATTTACGAAGCTAATTTTGTGTTAAATTGATTAATTCTTCGCAAATTGTGAAAGTTGATTGATAAAAAAATAAAACACATTTAGGACACTAATTTACAATTTTATTTAAAATAACAGGACTTTTTAATATTAATTACAATTGAATTTAGAAGAAAGAAAGCCAAAGCAACGCCTCAAATATTACAATTAGATAAATGTCTTTCGTCAAATTAGTCAGTGTTTATGTTTTCGATATGCCAGCCCGGAGAGTACTGGTCTTAAATTCCTTTTCGTTCATCACTCATTCTTCGTACATTTTCGTACTTGATCGTCATTTCATACTCACATTTTATTTCACACATTTACGCAGTAACATACTGCCGGGATTGAACTTGTTCAAGAAATTTAATCCGCAATCGGAAGCGGCGAAATCTTTTTTACGCCTCGCTTTACAATTCCATTTTCAGTTTTGACAGTAACCACGCGAATGACGCCGTCGTTACCTGGATGAGTTTCAAGCACTCTACCTAATTTCCAGCGCATTGGTGGCACATTATCTTCGTGTACAACGACGAGGGTACTAATTTTTATCAAGTTCGGGGAACCAGTATGCCATTTACCTCGCACATTAAGTTCGTTCAGATATTCACGGTGCCAACGATTCCACAAATCGACCTTCAATTTTTGCATATGTTGCCAGGTTGAAAGTCGATTGACGGGTATCTGAGAATAATCCAAAGTGGGGATTGTCATTAGCGCATCGCCTATCAAAAAATGGCCCGGAGTCAACGCTTGTAGATCATTTGGATCTGACGATATTGGCGTGAGCGGACGCGAATTGAGCACCGCTTCGATTTCACACATGTATGTGCTCAATTCTTCGAATGTAAACAGAGTCTCACCGATTGTTCTCTTTAAATGATGTTTGAGCGACTTCACAGCCGCTTCCCACACGCCCCCAAAGTGAGGAGTTCTTGGTGGGGAAAAGTGCCACTTTATTCCTTGATTTGTTTAATAATTTTCGATTTTATTCATTTTTTCTGTTGAATTGAGGAGGCTGTGAAGTTCACTCAAATCATTATTCGCGCCGACAAAATTCGTTCCATTGTCGGAATAAATTGCTTTTGATCGACCTCTTCGCGCGAAAAATCGTCGCAAACTTGCAATAAATAAAGTTTTTTTCTTTGACATAAAATGGGCCACAAAAATCTACCCCTGTGTTTTCGAAAGGGCGAGCATGCGTTATTCTTACTTTTGGTAGATTGGCCATTTGATAATTAATTTCTTTCGGTTTGACGCGAAAACACCTCACGCAATTATGCAGAACCTTTCGAACAGCGAGTCTGCCGTCTATTGGCCAAAATTCATTTCTAATCGCGTACAGGGTTCCATTTGCGCCTGCATGTAAATATTTTTCGTGAAATTCGCGGATTATTAAAGTGGTGAGAGGATGGTTTTTTGGTAAAAGGATAGGATGTTTTTGTTGCAGTTCCAAGTCGGGGTGCCTGATCCTTCCACCCACTCTCATCAGCTTGTCAACGATGATTGGATTTAATTTGATGAGCTTCGATTGTCCTGGAAGATTCTCGTTTTTTGTCAGTTTTTTTATTTCTTTAGAGAATTCCTCTTGCTGAACGAGTCCAAGGATCCGATTTTTTGCTTCTGATAATTCGTCCGGAGATGGCAATCCTGAAGAGCACGACTGTTTCCGCAGTTTTTTCATGAATCGAATGCAAAGAGCCATTATGCGTAGCAACTTTGTCCAAGATGAGAATTTCGTCCACAATTCACAGGGTTGGTTGTTGATCATCATCGATATGATTGAGGGGCTTCGTTTTTCTGGTATCTCGATTTTTTTCAAAGGATGCTCCGGCCAACAGGATTCAGATTCCGAAAGCCATTTGGGACCGAATTTCCACATCTCGTTTTTTACGAATTCTCCCGGAAGTTGTCCTCGCGATACGTAGTCTGCGGGGTTGTCTTCTGATGACACGTGCTTCCAATTCGCTTGTGGTGTAAGGCTTTGGATTTCTGCAACTCTGTTGGCTACGAAAGTTTTTAATTCATGTGGTGAAGAAGAAATCCAGCTGAGGGCTATTGTCGAGTCGGACCAAAATACTTCGCGATTGATTTGCACCCTTAGAGACTCCTTGACACTCTTGAATAATTTTGCTAAGGTCACGGCTGCACAAAGTTCCAATCTGGGCAAGCTGACTGTTTTTATCGGTGCTACTCGTGATTTTGCGGTAAGTAACAATACGCGATGATTCTGTCCTTTCGATGCTCGTAAATAGATGCACGCGCAGTACGCTTTTTCGCTTGCATCAGCGAATCCGTGCAACTGCAACTCCTCAGTATCCGAGTCACGGTTGGTTCTTGGGATTTTCCAATGATTTAATGATGGTAATTCTTCTTGATATTTGTTCCACTCAAGGACGATGTTTTCCGGAACTGGATCATCCCATTGAATGTTTAATTTCCAGAGAATTTGCATTTGGATTTTTGCGTATGTTATGACTGGGGCCACAATTCCCAAAGGGTCATAAAGCTGGGCAATTTGAGATAACATTGTTTTTTTTGTTAAAATATCTTGATTTTTTGCAGGTTTGACTTCAAATATCAGCACGTCTTCCCGTGAGTTCCAGGACACTCCCAAGGCCTTGGTTGAAGATTCTGGATCCAATTTTACTAATCCATCGTTTGACTCGTCTTGAATGTCCTTGATGAGATCCGGATGATTTGAAGACCACTTTAACAATCGAAGTCCTCCTTTTTTGCTACTTCAGTAACTTCATTTTTTCGTTGCTCTGCTTGATCCAGTGTGTCATCTCCAGTCATCATGTCGTCGACATAGAAATCCTCTGTTAATGTTTTAGCCGCCAATGGAAAGGATGTCCCTTCATCGATAGCCAGCTGATTGAGAGTCCTAACCGCCAGAAATGGTGCAGCCGAGGTCCCATAGGTCACCGTCGTCAGCTGATATGTTTTCAACGGTTCGTTTGGATTGTCTCTCCACAGAATTTTTTGATACTTCCTATCTTCAGGGTGGATCCAAAATTGGCGGTACATCTTTTCAATGTCCGCACTGAAAGCGATTGGATGTTGCCTGAAGCGCAAGATCAGAGAAAAAAGCGATGTTTGAATGGTTGGTCCCACCATCAATGCGTCATTTAACGAGATTCCCGTGGTGCTTTTTGCTGATGCGTTAAATACTACGCGCAGTTTAGAGGTGAGACTCGCTTCTCTTACTACCGCCTGATGAGGCATGTAGTAACCTTCGCCGAATTTCCCCTTGACCTCCTCCATGTGTCCCAGTTCCTTATACTTCCCCATGAATGAGCAGTATTGTGTTTTTAATTCCGGATTTTTTGTTAATCGTCTCTCCAATGCAAAAAATTGTCTTCTTGCCATCTGAAATCAATCCCCCAAATTGTTGATGTTATCATTGAATGGTAGTCAAAGTTGATATTTACCCAAAGTGTCGCGCTGCGTATGAGTTGCATAGTGTTTTTCGCACTCCTGTTCATCCTTTGAGTAATGTTTAATTTTCCCATAGTCTTCGATTTCCCAGAATTTTTCTAGTTTGTTGTCGAGGTCATCCTTCATTAAATGACAGCTGTAGCTTCGACGAGATTTTCGAACCGAATCAATTTTCCCTGTTATTATTCCTCCAAGTTTGGTGTCCCATACTGCAGTTCGCGGAAGGGCCAATGATATCCTGGAAGAACCCAATATTTCGTAGAAAACTTCGGCTCCGAGAAGAATTTCCACTTCAGCTGGTTGATGAAATTTGGGATCTGACAAGGTAACATCATTTGGAATTTTGAGAGATGATTTGTCAATTGGAGAGGAAGGAATTTGTCCAGTTATTTTGGGGATCACTAGAAAGGAAAGTTTTACAGAATAATCAGAAACTTTAGATTGCAAAGTTGCTATTGTCCATTGTGTACTCGATACCTCTACGTTACTTACCGCCCCCACCCTCGACTCCCAATCAAAAAGATTCAAATTTAATCGTTTTGCAAAATTTATGTTCATAAGATTAGGTTGAGACCCACTGTCCAACAAGATTCTACATGCATGCTTATTTCCTTTATTATCAATTATATTTACTATCGCTGTTGACAAAAGGACCTTTGATGCGTCTGACACATGTAGATTAGTACTTACTTGATTTTTTTTGTTTACATCTTTTTTCTCAAATGTTGATGGTACTCTAGAGTCGTCGTGTAAAAGGGTGTGGTGTTTGCGGTTACATTTAGTGCAATTTCCCGATTTACATTCAGCAAATAAATGATTAGTTCTAAGACAATTATAGCAAACGCCCTTTGATTTGACAAATTTTTGTTTGTCGTCAATCGATTGTTTCGCAAACTCGGGACAGTGATAAATAAAATGATCTTCATTGCAAAATTTACAATAAGTTCTAAATTGCGTATTGTTTACAAAGGATCTGCATTGTTGAGTTTTATTTGCACTAAAAGAAGGTTTGTTTTCAGATTTATTGTTTACTTTTGTTTGTTCATTGTGATTTAAGTACAAAGTTTCTAACATCTGACATTTTTCATTTAAAAAATTAGTCAAGTCTGCAAAGGTCGGTACTTTATTTCCAATACTAGATTTTTCCCATTCTTTTCGTGTATTTATATCTAATTTTGTGTTTATCAAATAAATGAGCAATGTATCCCACGAGTCGGTTGGTTGTTCAAGGACCTTTAACGCTCGCACGTGTCTCAAAATACTATCTGATAAATTTCTCAAATTTTCTGCTGATTCTTTATTTACAACCAGTAATTCAAAAATTGCTTGTACATGATTATATAAAATTATTCTGATGTTGTTATATCTTTGATTTCAAAGTTCCCAAGCAATGTCATAATTGTTTTCTATAGTTTCTAAGCTTTCAATAACGCGAGCTGCATTACCTTTTAAATAGCTTCTTAAAAAACGCAATTTTTGAATTTTCGGTATTGTTTTATCTTTATCAATGACTGCGGAAAAGGTATCTCTAAACGTCAACCACTCGTCATACGCACCTGAGAACGGGGGAATTTCTAATTTATTTAAAGAATACCGCGTGGTTACTGTCGACGGTGTTGAGCCTCTCTCTATTATGCCTCTGAGTGTTTGTATCTCGCTTTCGCGACAACGCCAACTGGGCTTCCAATTTGATTATGCGCTCTTGTGTTGCACTGTCCATGTCACCTGTTCGCGAATCGGAAAGATTTTCGCCAATTTCATTTTTCTTTAATATGCTTTTTGCTACTGATGAATAATGAAAATAAAAGTCTTCAACTTCACTTCTTTCCTTCTCGCGAGCAGGATCAGGGACTGCAATTTCTATGATAGATTGGACTCTATCGAATTCATTCCAAGTTTCTGTTGCGTCTTTTAAACGCGATTTTAGTTCTTCTTGATTTCTTAAACTTAGTGTTTCTTCTTTTTCAATTTTTTCTAAAAATGTTTTAAATCTAGTTAATTTACTTTTACAAACAGTTCTTTTTGTTTTTTCTTTTTCAACTCCCTCCATTTAAATTTATTTCCAATAGTGAGAAATTTAAGTATAATATCCCTGGCGGATTCGATTTGCGTAATGTCTACTTAACTAAGCGGACTTTAGGTAGACATTAGGTAGACATGTAAAAAAACGTATAAAAAAGCTATTAATCGACTTATTATGATAAAAAAAAGTTGATAAAAGGGTAAATGAATGTTTATAGAGTAAATTCGTACAAAATTTGTAATTAATAAAGCAATAAATAATTAATAATGAATGGAAATGTGCGCGAGGTACCTGATCAGTTCAGCTGTACAATTATTTTCGTGCTATTTTCATGAAAAGAATATAAATTAACTGCAAAAACAATTGATATTTATAAAAAAGTGTAAAATTGATTTAATTTTATTGTTTGCAATACGAATTATTAAATAATAATTAAGTTTTTATCAAATGTGAATAGTGTTGTGAAAACCTGTGAAAACTAATGAGTTACTACATTACCGATCGCATATGATAATAAAAAGTTCTCGATGAGTGTAACAAAAAAGCTGCAATCATGTCCGTAATTTTGGACGAGAAACAATTATGAAATCAATAATTATTTGTATAACTTTATTCTGCATTTTAAAATTCACTTTTTATTTTCTTTCAAAGCAAAAGCTTGGAAGAAAACATGCTCGCACTGTATTGTAAAAACTGGTGGCGCCATCTCTCATATGCGATCGGTAATGTAGTAACTCATTAGTTTTCACAGGTTTTCACAACACTATTCACATTTGATAAAAACTTAATTATTATTTAATAATTCGTATTGCAAACAATGAAATTAAATCAATTTTACACTTTTTTATAAATATCAATTGTTTTTGCAGTTACTTTATATTCTTTTCATGAAAATAGCACGAAAATAATTGTACAGCTGAACTGATCAGGTACCTCGCGCACATTTCCATTCATTATTAATTATTTATTGCTTTATTAATTACAAATTTTGTACGAATTTACTCTATAAACATTCATTTACCCTTTTATCAACTTTTTTTTATCATAATAAGTCGATTAATAGCTTTTTTATACGTTTTTTTTACATGTCTACCTAAAGTCCGCTTAGTTAAGTAGACATTACGCAAATCGAATCCGCCAGGGATTCAATTTCAAATTTAATTAGTGTTGAATTAATTAGTTTCAGATTATTTGATAATACTGGAATGAATACGATAAGTTTCGCTATACAAATTAACTCTTACTTGATACAATACATTCGATGTTTACAATGATGACCTTGTTGACTGGAATTTTCCGTGTTGCTTGATTTTGGTACCTCGATTTAGACTTCTTGATGAATTTTCTTACCGAAAATGGATGAATTTACGCTGCTTGATGGCGTCCTAGTTAATTCCACCTGATTAATCCGATGGCCAATTTATTTCCAGTAAAGCCCTTGACTGCATTAATCGAATACCTTGTGTGAATGTCTCTTTTTTTCAAATTTGATATGTTGGGGAGCACTCTCGATTTTTTATGGACTGGCACTTACAATGATTTAAAAGTTCACAATTGTTTTCAAGTTCACAAATTACCGGGTTCACAGTTCCACAGGTACACAAGTTCACAATTTCTTTTTTTATCTTTGCAAGTCGATTGATAAACGAATATTTTGCAAAGATCCGGCTCGAAGGACCATGTAAATTTACGAAGCTAATTTTGTGTTAAATTGATTAATTCTTCGCAAATTGTGAAAGTTGATTGATAAAAAAATAAAACACATTTAGGACACTAATTTACAATTTTATTTAAAATAACAGGACTTTTTAATATTAATTACAATTGAATTTATAAGAAAGAAAGCCAAAGCAACGCCTCAAATATTACAATTAGATAAATGTCTTTCGTCAAATTAGTCAGTGTTTATGTTTTCGATATGCCAGCCCGGAGAGTACTGGTCTTAAATTCCTTTTCGTTCATCACTCATTCTTCGTACATTTTCGTACTTGATCGTCATTTCATACTCACATTTTATTTCACACATTTACGCAGTAACACATTTTTTTAGGTCTTTTAACGAGGAACAACTTTTATCTGAGACATTTTTTTATATCTAGTGTATTTTTTGAGAAAAATGATGTTTTTCTTTTAAAAAATATAAAAAATTTTTTTCTCTTGTGCCAGAATCGGGCACAAGTTAAATTCTTGTGGGCAATATTCCTCCCTATGAACACAATCCCCAAAAAAATTTTGAGCAAAAAAAAAGGTGGGGTTTTTGAGTAATTTCAAATTAAAGTTTTTTAGTAAAATGGCCGCCATTTTGTTATTTTTAAATATTTTTTAAATTCTCCAATGGATTTCGAAAGAAGAATAAAAGTCCTTTCAGACACAAAAGGAAAAAGTAAATTATCTTAATTACTCAAAAAGTTACATCACTTTTAAGATTTTTTCTCTTCATTTTAAAAAAAAAAGTTCTCGACTTATATATTTGAACTCCTTATAACTTGAAGAAAAAATTTTTTTCAGCAAAATAAAAAAATACGTGTCGTCTAAAATTCATTGAAGAACAACATTTTGAAGGTGAAAATTATTTTCAGCTCCGACCAAGTCAAGCCTGTCTGATTTGAAATGAATTCGGTCTATCAAATAAATATTATGTCAAGTGATATTTATGCTCTATGAATTTTAAGTCATATGACAATTCTGACAAGCGAAATTTATATCAAATGAAATTTATGACGGATAAGCTTTATACTACTGTTACATCCCGAGCTAAGGCTTTGTTTTTAAACAAATAATTTATTTATTTACTTGGGAGGATTGTGCTGATTAATCAGATTGGTAAGATCTGATATTTTTATTTTGTAGGATCGTTGTAACTTTATAAAGACTATGGGTCCTGCGTTAAAAACAATAATAAAAGATA